GGAAAATAACCCCATCTAGTTATTAATGTAAGGGTGTACTTTTTGGGGGAGGAAGACTGGTAGAGAGGATAAACTGGAAAGTTAGGTGTTTTCTGCTTTAGCCACCACTTTGAGGTTCCTCTCCTTCACTGTTGCTGGGTCATAATCCTGGAACTCTGCCTTTGCAGCACTGTGGGTGTACCTACACCACATGGATAGCAGCATTTCAAGAAGGCACTTCATTACCTTTTCAAGGGCAATTAGGAATGAGCAATAAATGCAGGCCCAGACAGTGACACCCAGTTCCTGTGAAATAGATAGAAATAGGTGCTCTAGGTAGACAATATATTGTTTTCAATGAAGAGAATATGTCACTGGGAAACAAATGTGAGCATCTGATGAATACTGCGTCTCAAGCAGAAGCAACAGTTCAACAATTCATATTTTTAACTTATAACCAGGTGTGTGAGATCATCGAAAGAAGAATCTGAATAACTATGCTGAAAATTATAACTTTCATTAGCAATTCTGGATACTTGCATGAATCCTTAGTAAGAGACATGATCTTCTGTGAAATGTAAGAGTCACACTCGAATGAGAGAAGCATAAAAAAAAAGATTGATCAAAATGACTACAAAGGTGACACTAAATGTGAGGAGAGATTCATTCTGACTGCTTATTTGACTTTAACCGAGAACTGAAGGATAATGGCAAGACAATGCGACTGAAGGTAAAATTATAGTCTAATAAAGTAATACTGCAGCTGTCAGTTCCTCTGGAACAGTACACAGGAAGATGGTTCAGGTTTCAGAACCATGGACAGTAATGCAGGAAGATACTGAGGTTTATGTGTACGGCAGGGAGCAACCCAGTGTAAGAAGTGGAGCAATTGAAGTACAATAATATTCTCCGTAACACAAGAAGCATTGCCACGAGAAGAACTAAATAAATCAGGCACACTGAACGGAGCCATATGTCTTTAAATGAGCATGGCAGCCTAAAGGGCAAATATCAGCTCACTCTAATTTGGAAGGGGAAACAATGACTTGCAAGGCCAGCTGAAAGATGAATATGAGCAACAAATTACGCTGAAGACCAACAGATGCAGGAATCAAGCCATGGCCCCTGGGAATTGAGCCTGCTCATCAACAATAAATAAAGGTGTCAACCTAGGCTATGTGGCTACCCTTTGGCCTCTGAGTCAGAAGGTTGTCAATTTAAATCCCATTTCAGAGGCCTAAGTACAGAATGTAGGCTGGCAGTACAGTATCGAGATTACTGAGTGAGTGCTGCATAATTGGAGGTATCATCTTTTGTAAGAGACATTGGTCAAAAATCTCATCGACTCTCTCAAGCAGCTGTAAAACATTTCCACATCTCTTTCACAGAAGAGGCTGAATGACCCCTAAAGCCTTAATAAACATTTATTCCTTGAATGAGATTGTTATATCAGTTCACCTGGTCAATCCCCTTGGCCGGATTTTCTGAGGAGCAGCAATTACAGATGGGTCGCCACTCTACTTCTACTTCTTCCCATTAAGACAGAACTGTGAATTTCTGGTAGGAGATTCTGATCATGGATTCCTTCAGAAATGTGGATTTACCTGAAATCCAGCTGTGTCATCATATGTAGGATTTTCAGGTTTGGCAAAGAAGATGCTCACTTTCATGGCAGTCATTACAGTATTCTCTGATTTAAATGCCCAGCATATCGCCAGACATTTTGATAGCCCCTGTGAAATGGTAGTGCGTGTAAGGTAAGTAGGGTGTGAGGTGGGTAGAGTGGAAGGGTGTCAGGTGTATATAGGTGCCAGGTAAATTACAGAGTGTTTAGGGAAGGTCAGTAAGGACAGGGGTTTTGGATCCATCTAAGCGAAGAGGTGGATGTGTGTGTCCACAAGCAGGAGAGGATCCTTGGGGAAGGGTGGGTGTCAGATACTGAGACAGAGGAGTGGTCTCAGATCCCAGGGTGGATGGGGGTCCTGGGTGAAAGGAGTGTGTCAGATCCAGCAATGCAGAAAAGGGAGATATTGGGTTTTGTTGGAGAAGAGGGTCCCAGGGAGAGAGGGAGAGTTTCAGACCCAGCAACAGGGAACAGGGGCGGGTTTCAGTTTCTGTGAGGAGAGGGGTTCCTGGGGAGATAGAGTGGTGTCACATCCAGTGGCAAAGAAGGAAGGAGTCTCAGGTCCTGGCAGGAAAGGAGGAAGGTGTCAGGGGAGGCAGAGCATGGGAGGGTCTCCATTTCTGTGGGGGGAGGGTGTCCCAGGGAGAGAAGGTGGTGTCAAGTGCAGCAGAAGTGAAGGAAGGGTCTCAGATTCAATCAGTTCCAGGGGTCCCAAGATATGGAAAGGGGGCTCAGTCCCAGGGGATAGGAGGGTGTCAGATCCAACGGCAGTGAAGGGGGGGGATGTTCTCAGGCTCTCCTAGAAGAGGGTCCCAGGGTGGAGAGGGGTTTATTGGATCTGGTGGCAGGGAAGGGAGTTGTGGTTTGAGCTTTTATGGGGAGAGTGGCTGGTGTAAAGTCCAGCAGAGGGGAAGAGAGTATTGTCACATCTCATGGGGAAGAGTGGTTGTTGGGTCAGGGTCCAAGGGGCATAAGGAGTCTGAGGCAGATGCAGTTAGATGTTCCATCTAATAGTTACCCAGGAGTTGGATTAGGTTTTGAATTGCCCAGTTCTTTTTCTGTGGACAATACTTACTTAACTGCAACAGAACCCTCTAAATTCTCCAATTTAATTGGATACAGGCTAATTGTACATCAGAATTGTTAACTTCCTAGACAGTTTCCCTGGAGTTGCTTAGGTTGAGATTTTTAGAGCCCTGACACACAACTCTGATCTATTCAGCAGAAGTGACTACTAACCGAAGTTATTTCTGGGAACATAATACTTAAAAACTTCTATCAGATTTCTTAGAATATAACACTGACTATACACTCTGAAAAGTGCTTCATTGGCTGAGATTTGGGACTGCCTGAGATTATGACTGATGCTATAAAAGCCAAGTTCTCTTTCTTTTTAAAACCTTGAAAATTGAAACTTTGCATCAGTGTTCTCCATTGGTGGATATTTGGGCAGAGCTAAAGTAAGAAATCAAAGCCAGAACTACTATTGAGGAAGTATTATTAGACTTTAAAGACAAGACACAATGTAAGAAAGAAACAAAATAGTACAAGATGAGTTCCTATAGCATCAATTGCAATCAAATAGTGCCATCTGCTTCAAGAAAAAGAAACTTGCGTGATTATCACTGCACTGTGTTGTGTGTCAGTCACTGAGGCAGCTGGTAGTAAAACTAAGTTGCAAATAAAATGCTCCTGTTTAGTAATGCAATCTTTGACTTGCTCGTGATAAGTGTTGATACAAAGTGTTGCTGACAACTCCCAACCTGTGATAAGAGGTTATGAATTAAGAATATCACAAACTGCTTCTTTTAATTGTGATGATTGTCTTTTGTGTTGTAGAAACAATAGTAACAATTTCCATTTATATGACATCTTTAGCATAAAGAGTTGGCAAGTTCCTAGGTAGTTTACAAACAGTTACCTTGAAAACAGAGACTGTGGCAGGAGGTGAACGGTTCAAAGCATGAATTAAGGCCGTGCTAAAATGATGGGTTTGGAGGAGGTTGGAGATAGTGATGCAAATGGTTAAGGAGTGAACTTCAAAGAGTATGATCAAGGGGACTAAATGAGCTGACATCAGGTGAAGGGAATGGATGCAGCAAAGAATCAGGAATAAGAGGAACAGAGCATTGGGGGTGGAACATAGGGATAGGGTGGGAGAAAGCTTTGAGTCATTTCTGGTTGAAAATTAAAATTTTGACCTGAATATTGAGATGCTGAAAGCCAGTTTAGATGAGAGGGCAAGAGTGTTGAATGATCAGGACCTGGTGTGAAACAGAATACATGTGGCAGAAGTTTAGGCATTAGGAAGTTTATGAAGGATGACAGTCTCAAAACTAATGTCTAGAGTTGACAAAGAGATTTGTTAGTGGAAGGTCTGAGGTAAGTACAGAGGTAGAAATGGAGTTTAAAACTTATCTGAGTTTTGTAGGCTATTCTGTTTGAAAATAAGCAAGAAAGCCGGAGATGACGTGGAAGTGGAGTTTGTGATGGGGGTGTTGCTAACCATTTTAGCCTTTGTGATATTGAACTTGAAACAGAAGAGGGAAACAGAGAGGTGGCAGAGAGCCCAAGCTGTATGACAGCATATGTGTGGAAGCTGACACTTTCTTGACCGATATTGTCATCAAATAGCAATCTTAAGAGAAGAGATGAATCCAGCTATTAATCCTTGGGGGACCTTGAGAGTAAACGTGCAGGGAGGGGAAGCCAATACTGTCGATGGATTCATTCCATTCAGAGAGGTCAGAATGGAACTGTAAAAGGGCAGTCTCACTGGGCTGCATGATGAAGAGACACCTTGAATGAGGCTGGTGTACTCAGCTTTATTGAACGCTCGTAAGCTTGAAGAAATGGAGAGATAATGGAATCCTTATCAAAGCACCAGAAGTTGTCATTTGTTATTTTTACTTGTTTGTGTTTTAATGCTGTGAGAGGAGCAGAAGCAGGATTCAAATAAACTGAGTGACAACAGCTTTAAACGGCAGGTTCATGTTGATTTAGGTTCACTGAATAACAGAAGTACAGTGTGCAGTGAAGCCATTTAACATATTTGACCTGTGCTAGTTCCACTTCTTTAACTTGAGCTGTTTTGTTTAATCCCATGAGGGTTGGAGTATTACAACTGTTCTGACCATTCAGCTTTGACCTCATTATTCTTGTCAGTAGTGTTAGGAATGACACTGAATGTTGGTATTGTAAACCTTGCTACAGTGCTTCTGTGCGGGATGAAGAGCCTCTTGGAGGAAGCAATAACCCGTGAAAACAAAAACCCTTCCGCCCTTTTCTCCAAATTTATGATTCTGCCGTACAGGAACAAACTGCTGAGGCCTATACTGGAGTTTCCCGTCTCTATCCTCCTTAGCATTTCTCACTCTGTCTTCTTTATTTCTTATAGGGTGGTGATAGAGAAGATGAAATCTCAGATGGGGAGCAAATTAATCCTCTCCAGTTGGAGTTTGTGGATGATCCGAACTTCAAGGTCAAAGTCAATTATTCTTACATGGCAGTGCAGATCCCAACAGATATCTACAAGGGCTGTGAGTATTATACAGAATTACACACAATGCATAACAGAACAAAAAGCCATTTGGCCCTACAAAGCACTGACGGTGTTCATATGCCACATAAATCAACTCTTACAACTCAGTCTACCAAAATACTACTTTTTGGTTTATTGCCTATATTTTGTCCCAAATCAACTTTGGGCCTTGTACAGTATTCCAAAATGCATTCTGAACCTCGTAATGACATTGTTGGTCATAAAAAATACTTCAGAAGCTTGTACAACTCAAAGCACCTTCTGGATAGAGAAATGGTTTAAGAGATTTTACATTTCTGGGGCATTGGGACCAATTCCAGGACAGGTAGGACCTGTACAAGGTAGATGATTAAACACATCAGCAGATCTGGGATTAATATCCTTGCAGTGAGATTTACTGGTGCAGTTGGAAATGGGTTAAACTAGCTTGCCAGAGGTAGGTCACCCAAAAAGGAATTCAGATAGAATGCAAACAAAGCTGGCTATGAAAAGTAGAAACATTCTAAATCAAAGTGGAATGCAGCAGAAACAAATAGCAACATGGAATCAAGTCAATGCAGAATGATGTTAACAGGAAGGAATTAAAGTCACTCTATCTTGGGTGTGCACATCTTTCACAACCAGATAGGGTTATACTCCTGAGAACTTGGCAGGTGGTGAATTTGCAGGGTTATTTTTGCTTGCCATCTGAACGTGATCTGTGCTAGTGATGATAAACCCATAACTAGATGTATAGCTCTTGGGTGTAGCATAGCAAAACAAAATTATATCTTATACTTTGCATATATGTGCATATAATACATGTAAATATATACCCAGCTCCCATACAGGTATGACATGATTAGCATTCAACAGTCACCTGTTCCCTAGGTCCATTTGGTCTCGGGTATCCCTGCTAGACCCTTCTGGATGATAACACCATCTCCTAGAACATGTTCTGCCTGAGATCTAGTTGCACAGAGATCTTCAATTGCTCCTAACTTCTTCTCACTGAGTCCTAATAGAACCTAGTTAGTTTAATTGCCTACCCTGCAATCCAGCACTTCTAACATTGAGTCAGCTCTCTCTGTCCATTGGGCACTTGCTGACTTCCAGTCCTTTTAAGTAATCGTTGAATATCTCTTCAGTGACCCTTGAACAGTAGTGGCTTTTCCAATTGAAAACCTTACATTATGCCCCTCTCCTATTCCAGGGCATAATGAAATGTGGCAACTTAGCAGAGTTTGGAACTTCCTGTTTCATGCATGTTTCCAGTCATGGATGGGTGTATTACTCAGCATGAAAAAGCATTGATATAACTAGAGAATTTACTTGCAAAAGTTATCATCGAAGAATGGTCTAACATGACACAAGAGGTGTCAGGCAGTTTTAGATTTTTTTGGCCATACAGAGATAAATGTTATGTCTAAAGAGGTGTAATTTTTGAAGGGAAACAAGTATTTGTACCCTCAGTTCTTTGCCTTAACATATTCTCACATCTGCATCAAGAACATATGGGCTTAACTGAAAAAGACGCAACATATCTTGGCCAGGGATCAACATGACATTAAGGAGTCAGTAAGGATGTGCCAGTCACTCCAGAACCATCAAGATTGGCAACATGAAGACCTCTACACCCTCACAAGATTCCATTAGTCGCTTGGTCCAAAGTCGCAACTGATTTATTCACTGTACGTGGCAATGATTAGTCACTAGTCACTCATTACTTCTCCAAACTTCCACTGTCAGACAATTAAAAGACACTTCAAGTACATGTAATGTTTGATCTATTCAGCATACCTGAAGAGATTGTATCTGACAGTGGGCCACAGTATACCAGCAGACCTTTAAGGTGCATGCATGCCAAATGGGGCATAAACTACGTTATCTCATTATCCCGGGTCCAACAATCTCATTGAGCAATGAATTTCATTGTTAAATCACTTATTATGAAGAGCAGGGTGACAAAGTGGTTTTATGTTGGACTCAATGTTAGAAGTGCTATATTGCAAGGAAGACAATTAAACTAACCAGTTCTATAAGGACTCAGCGAGAAGTTAAGAGCAATTGAAGATCTCTATGCTACTCGAACTCAGGCAGAACTTGTTCTAGGTATTATCATCTGGGAGGGTCTGGCAGGTATACATGAGACCAAATGGAGCTAGGGAACAGGAGGCTTATTATAGAGTCAGAGAGTCATACAACACGGAAACAGACCCTTCAGTCCAACCAGTCCATTCCGAGCATAATCCCAAACTAAACTAGTTCCACCTGTCTGCTCCTGGCCCATATCCCTCCAAACCTTTCCCGTTCATGTACTTATCTAAATGCCTTTTACATGTTGTAATTGTACCCACATCAACCACTTCCTCAGGAAGTTCATTCCACACATGAACTACCCTCTATGTAAAGATTTGCCCCTCATGTCTTTTTAAGTCTTTCTCCTCTTACCTTAAAAATGTACCCCCTAGTCTTGAAATCCCCCATCCTTGGAAAAAGACAACTACTATTAACTCTATCTATACCCCTCATTAATCTATAAACTTTTATAAGGTCACCTCTCAACCTAAGCTCCAGTGAAAAAAGTCCCTGCCTATCCAGTCTTTCCTTATAATTCAAACCTTCCGTACCTGGCGACATAGTGGTAAATCTCTTTTGAACCCTCTCCAACTCAATAATATCCTTGCTATAACTGAGCAACCAGAACTGGACACGGTATTCCAGAAGAGGCCTCACCAGTGTCCTGTACAAGCTCAACGTGACTTCTTAACTCCTTTACTCAAAGGACAGAGCAATGAAGGCAAGCATGCTAAATGCCTTTTTAACCACCCTGTCTATATGTGACGTAAACTTTAAAGAATTATGCACCTGCACCCCCAGGTCCCTCTGTTCTACAACTCTACCTAAGGCCCCACCATTAATTGTATAAGCCTTGTTTGTTGTACCAAATTGCAATACCTCGCATTTATCCAGATTGAACTCCTTCTGCCGTTTTTCAGCCCATTGACCCATTTGATCAAGATCCCTTTGTAATCTTAGGAAGCTTTCTTCACTGTCTACTATGCCACCAATTTTGCTGTCATCCACAAACGTACTAACTGTGCCTTCTATATTCTCATCCAAATCATTTATATAAATGACAAACAAAAAAGGACCCAGAACTGATCCCTATACGCAGTCCTCCAGTCCGAAAAGCAACCCTCCACCCACCACTCTCTGTCTCCTACCATTAAGCCAATTATATATCCAATTGACAAGCTCACCCTGAATCCTTTGTGAACTAACTTTACTAATTAGCCTACCATGGGAACCTTATCAAAGGCTTGACTAAAATGCCAACAACATCAACTGATCTGCCCTCCTCAATCTTTTTGGTAATTCCGTCAAAAACTCAATCAAGTTTATGAGACACAATTTTTCTCGCACAAAACCATGCTGACTATCCCTAATCAATTTTTGTCTCTCTAAATGTCCATAAATCCTGTATTACATAATAACCTTCAACAATTTACGCACAACTGAAGTCAGACTCACAGGTCAATAGTTCCCCGGTTTCTCCTTACAACCTTCCTTAAACAAAGGTACATTATCTCTCCAGTCATTGGGCACCTCATCGGTAGTTGTAGATGATGCACGTATTTCTGTGAGGGGTCTCGCAATTGCCTCCCTTATTTCCCACAACGTTCTGGGATACGTTAGATCAGGTCCCCGGGATCTATCCACCTTTATATTCTCTAAGACCCCCCAAACTTCCTCCTAAATCATCTCAACTGTTTTAAAACGTCAACATTTATTTCTCTGCATTCTCTGGACTCCATTTCTTTCTCCATGGTTAAAAACTGACATGAAATATTCATTTAGTACCACTCCCATTTCCTGGGATTGAACACAAAGATGACCTCCTTGATCTTTAACGTGCCCTACCCTCTCTCTAATTACTCGCTGTTGATGTATTTGTAGAATCTCTTTGGATTATCCTTAACCTTATCTGCCAATGCTGTCTCAAATCCCTTCATTGCCTTCCTGATTTCTTTCTTAAGAATGTCCCTACACTCTTTATATTGATTATGAGATTCAATTGAACCAAGTTACCTATATCTAAAATAAGATTCTCTATTATTCTTGACTAGAACCTCAATATCTTTATTCATCCATTGTTCCTTAATTTTACCAGCCTTACCCTTCATTCTAACAGAAACATAATGCCTCTGAACTCTCGTCATCAGACTCTTGAAAGCCTCCCGTTTGTGAGACGTTCTTTTACCTGTGAACAGTCTACTCTAAGCAACTTTTGAAAGTTCTTGTCTCATGCCATTAAAATTTGCTTAACTCCAATTAAAAGCTTTAATTTTTATGGAAGGCTTATCCTTTTCCATAAGCATTTTCAAACTAATGGAATTATGATCACTAGACCCAAAGTGTTCTGCCACTTTTACTTCAGTCACTTGCCCTACCTATTGCGCAAAGAAGGTCTAGTTTTGCTCCTTCTCTGTGAGGAGCATCCATATATTGATAAAGAAAATTTTCTAGAACACATTCGACAAATTCTTCACCATCCAAACCTTTAACACTGTGGTAACTCCAGTCCATGTTTGGAAAATTAAAATCCCCCATTATGACAACCCTCTTATGTTTACATGTATCTGAGATCTTACTATATATTTGTTTCCTAATTTCCCACTTACTGTTGGGGGGCCTATAGCACAATCCCATCAAGGTGATCTTTCCTTCCTTATTTCTAATTTCTACCCATATATTTTCACTGGACAATTTTTTAGAAGCATCTTCTCTTGTTACAGCAGTAATGTATTCCTTAATCAAAAATACCACTCCCTCCTCCTTTCTTGCCTCTTTTCCTATTATTCTTTTAGCATCTACAGCCCAGAATGTTGAGATGCCAGTCTTGTCCATCTCTCAGCCGAGTTTCAGTAATAGTCATGATGCCCCAATCCCACGTTCTTAAGCATGCCTTGAGTTCATCCGCCTTACCTGTAAGACCCCTTGAATTGAAATAAATGC